TCCTGGATTCCCTGTGTTTCCAGTTCCTATCTGTACCAGTGTACATCCTCTGGCCTAGCCAGATTTGTAAGGGAGAATTGGGATCATGATGGGGGGCGGGAGGGTGGGGGGAGCGCAAGCATTTAGGAACTAGAGGAAAGTTGGATGTTTCATTGTTTCTACACTGCACTCTGACTGGTTGTCTCCTCCCCGAGACCCTTCTGTAAGGGGATGTCCAGTTGCCTACAGATGGGTCTTGGGTCCCCAATCTGCAATCCTCCTCATTCATAATGATGTGAATTTTTGTTCTTTGATGCCTGATACCTGAGCCCTTCGACACCTCATGCTCACACAGGCTGGTGTGCTTCTTCCATGTGCAGTCCTGAATTATTTTATCAGATTTTTTTAAACCCTAGATTGGGCTTTTCCTTAACCTTAATAGCTGGGGTTCAAAATACATAGGAATTTTATTTTCAATGCCTATATCCCTATGAGTTTCTGAAGCTGTAAATCTTTATGGGAGGAGAAAGCCTCATCCTTCTCCCCTACAGTGGTTGGAGCTTAGCAGGCAAATGGGTAACCCATCATGTAACTAATACTAGCACCTAAAAATTAAGAGAGAATGACAACTCAGTTTTATGATACCCAACAAACCTTCCATTTTGTTGATAAAATGCTTCTTCAAATTCCCGTAATGTTTTACGTAGTTTCTTTTTTTCAGCTCTAGCTTTCCAGAGTTGTTCCAATAATTCAGGCCTAAAAGTAAAGCGGGACGAAAACACTGAGAAAGCACTACTGACTCATTAGATTCTGGCTGCAATACTTGGCCAATGGACCTGAATTTGTTCTGGATGCAAGTGTCTCTTCCTGGTTCCCTGACAGAAATTTCTTCCCTGGCTTTTTGAATGTTGTTGTGGGTCTTTTCCTTCTTGCGCATTTCTTTCACTTTTGTCTGTATACTATTATGTTTTTAACCTTGCTACCTTAGCACAATTTTGTTTTTATTGTTTCCTGTTGGATCTCCCAGCTGTGAAGCACAGGAGTGGATGCATAATGATACTAACTGATACAAGGGGATACAGGGAATTCAGGGGTGGGGGAGTGGATGATGGTCAGGGAAAGGGGATTTCGGGGATAAATAATGAAGATGGGAGGGAGCACTAGAATGGATTGTGATTGCATAACATCCTTAAAGGTGATTTAACCACGGGGTGGTGGGGTAGTGACAGGGAATGCTCTAAAATTAATGTGAGGGTGATTGTACAATTCTCCTTGATATGACTGAATGTTTGAATTATACATTATGTAAATAACTTAATAAAACTGTTGGGGAGAAAAAAGTCAACTGGGGAGCTTTTAGAATATGCCAATGAATTTCTAAGCTCTACCACAGACCAATTAACTTAAAAGAGCTGAAAGCAGTAGGCGGTATCAGTACTTTAAAAAATAAGTCTCCCTTCCTGGTTACATAATGTAGTTAGGGTTAAGAACCACTGGTATACCCCATAGAATCCACAAATAAAGACGGTGGTCCAGAGCAAACTAAGAGGTACATTTTCACTCATTACACAGGAAGTGGGAATGACAACAGGTATTTGAAAATCACACTTCTTTAAAAGGGTGTTATCTTTTGAGTATTAAAACCAATTTCCGCAAAGTTCTAAATTAGTATTTAACATCAAATCTCTTGTTATAAGCTATATTATCAATATACATTATGTAGAGCATAATCTTTACTACACAAATAAAAGTCACAAGCCAGCATACATACATTGAAGCTGCTCGAGTACTTGACAATCGGAGATCCAGAGCCAACTTTTCTTGGTTTTCTTCAACATCAGATTCTGAGTTTTCTAAAGAACTTGAAAAAGAGTGTGTCTGTACAGCAGTTTTCAGAATATCACTGAACTCAGATGACAGACTAACACCATCTTCTTCTTCTTCCTAAAAATATATGCATGCAGAAAGTCAAACAGGCCCCTTAACTGTCACTTTTCCCTGAAGAAAGCAACCAGAGAATGATTTCTCTAAAGATTACCTTAATTTCCTCAAAAAAATGTGCAGTTTCTCCTTCTATGATTGGCTGTAACATCTGCACCCTTCGCTTGGTGGATGGAGATCCCTATAGTTATAAATACAAAGGTTTACATGGTAAATTTTCGAAGTGTTCAGTGGGAAAATTTAACTTCTGCTTTTATTCCCCTTTCTATGTTTGCACAAAAGTGACCTATAGTAATTACATCTAAATAAGTCTTGAACTATTTCAATAAATTATTGGAATTTTAAATGATAAACCATCTTATGAGGAAATTTTTCCTTTATTAGCAGTTCTCAACTATTTTGATTTAAGGACCCCTTTATATTTTTTTATTTTAATTATAGCTTTATGGGTATAATTCAAATACCATAAAATTTAGCCATTAAAAGTATACACTTTGGTGGTTTTATGCATATGCACATGGTTGAACAACCATCACCACCATCTAATTCCATAATGTTTTCATCACCTGTGGAGCCCTGGTGGTATAGTGGGCAATGGGATGCTAACTATAAAGTCAGAAGTTTAAAAGCCACCAGCTGCTTGATGGGAGTAAGATGAGGCTTCATACTCCTGTACAGTTATACTCTCAGAAACTCACAGAATTCTACCCTGTCCTATAGGGTTTCTATGAGTTGGAATCAACTCAATGACTGTGAGTTTAGTTCTTCATCACCTCAAAAAGAAACATACCAGTTAATGGCCACTCCCTATTTGCCTATGCCCTCCACCCTCTCAAACCCTTGTCAAACTCTATGGATTGGGTTTATCTATTCTAGAAATTTCATATAAATTAAATCACACAATATGGAGTCTTTTGAGTCTGGCTTATTTCATTTAGTATGATGTTTTCAGAGTTACTCATGCAACATTTATCAATACTTTTCCTTTTTGATCTCCCTTCATTTCTTTTTATGCCTAAGTAATCTTCCATTGTATGGATATGCTACATTTTCCATACATTTTGGCATTTATGAATAATGCTATGAAGATTTGTACATAAGGTTTTGTGTAGGCCAATGTTTTAAATTCTTTTGGGCATATACCCAGGAGTAAGATTGCTGGCCATTAGTTAACCTCTGTTTAATGTTTTGCGGAAATGCCAGTTTTCAAAGTTCCTGTGACATTTTACATTCTCGCCAGAAGTTCCAATTTCTCCACATCTTCACCATTACTTATTGTCTATCTAATATACGGGTCACCAAAAGTAAGAGCTGACTAAGCAACCATTAGTTCATAGTATCATGATATAATCTTGATTTGCATTTACCTAATGACTGGTTTTGCTAGCATTTTTAATATGCTTATTGGGAGAAGTAGACCAGCCCGTGTGATCATGAGATGTTGACGAAAAGACGTATCAGACACTCTACTGGGAGGGTAGAGTGAGAGTGGGTTGGAAAGAGGGAACTGATTACAAGGATCTACTGTATATGTGACCTCCTCCCTGGGGGACGGACAACAGAAAAGTGGGTGAAGGGAGACGTCGGACAGGGCAAGATTTTACAAATTATCAAGGACTCATGAGGGAGGGGGGATCGGGGAAGAAGGGGAAAAATAAGGACCTGATGTCAGGGGTTTAAGTGGAGAGCAAATGTTTTGAGAATGACGAGGGCAATGAATGTACAAATGTGCTTTACACAACTGATGTTATGTATGGATTGTGATAAGAGTCGTATGAGCCGCTAATAAAACGATTAAAAAAAAAACATCCAACCAACTCAACTTGAAGAGGCACGGATACAATAAGGAACCAGAACTCATTTGCAAAGTAATTGGACAGACCCTCTCAGAAGGGCCACTTGGAACAGATGATAAATCCAGGGTGTAGTGTGGCACTGATGAACCACAACTATCCTCTAGTTCCTCACAATTTCCTCCCCTTACTATTAAGGAATTTCTTTGCTTTTTTTTTAAAAGATCATTTTATCAGGGGCTGTTACATACATCAATTGTATCGAGCATATTTGTACATATGTTGCCACCATTATTTTCTAAACATTTACTTTCTATTTGAGCCCTTGGTATCAGTTCCTCTTTTTTCCCTCCTTGACCCATCATCCCACCCGTGACCCCTTGATAAATTATAAATTATTATTATTTTTATATCTTACACCGACCGCTGTTTTCCTTCCCCTATGGTTTCTGTTGTTCCTCTCCCTAGGGGAGTGTGTGGTCATGTGCTGATCATTGTGATCTGTTCCCCTTCCTGCCCTCCTCTCCCCACCCTCCTGTTACCGCTACTCTCATTTCTGTTCCTAAGGGGTTTATCTGACCTGGATTCTGTGTGTTGTGAGCTCTTATCTGTACCAGCACACATGCTAGCCCTAAGTGAAGGCAAGACGGGGTTTATGATAGGGGGAGGTGAGGACGTCTCAAGGAAACAGAGGAATAGCATATGTTTCATAGGAGTTATACTGTGCCCTGGTTGACTCATCCCTGCCTTGTAACCCTTTTGTAAGGGGATGTCCCATTGTCTACAGATGGGTTTCATCTCTTCTTGTGTTGAGGGAGGACTTTGAGCAGAGGCCCAAAGTCCATCCACTTAAGGAATTTATTTGTTTTACCTTATTAATCATGTTAGATTTGTGCATGCTCATTTGTATATCTAAAGATCGTTCGGTACATGGAAGTTAAAGATAGATAACCCTTCACAAACAGTAACAGGAGTAATTTGTTATTATGCAATTAATGAACATCATGATAGCTACAATAGATTTTACACTTGATCTTAGCCAAAAGGCTGAGAAGCAATTCATAAAATTGATTTTTTAAAGATATGAATTTAAATAGAAACTAAGCAATAAATCTGAAATACAGAGCTTTAAAATTCTGCTTCTGCCACATAGGTATTAGCTGATCATGGACTCATCAGCACCGATCTGAACCTCAGTTTCATCATCGGTGAAACGGCAAGATTTAATGATGCAGTCTTACATTACAATGCTTTTACTGTACCTGCAAGAGAGTGGGCACTTACTATTAGCTTCCTATTCTTTAAAATTATTAACTTCACAATTTATAATATTTCTTTCTAGGCTATAAATTTCTCCAATATGCTATCATACTGTCTTGATAAATATATAAATAAAATAAATCCACACGTATTGACTTACAAGGATAGGAGTGATGCTCGCTCTTGTCAGCATCTGCTTTACAAGTCTGTATCTATCATATAGAGGTTTAACAATGTGCCTTTCTTCCCTTGTCACCTACATGAAAAAGAAAAACAATCAGAAATCTATACTGCATAAAACATTGATATATCCTTTCTCTTGATTTTTAAAAATTTATTTTAAATAAACAATCTCCCAAGAGTAAAACATTAATGTTTTCTAAATAACTCTGAAGAACAGCCCAGAAGTAATTCATGTTCTTTTATGATACCAATTCAAATTTTTTTAGAAGAGAGGCATTACCGGCCTTCCATGTTGACTTTCATAGTATAAAAGACTTTTCTGTAGAGAACTTTTCTCTTCTACCAAATGGTCTTTTGTCATTTTCTAAAATTTAAAAAAAAAAAAGCAAAGCACAAAATTCCAATTAGCACCACTATTATCACTCTTACCCCCACAATGTAAATATAAATAATTGGGTTGAAAGGATAGCACCTCACCAGCCACTCCACACCAATAAGAACTCATCCTTTACAAACAACATTTTTGGGGAATCAAATCCCTACCCCCACTGGTGTCTGGATTTATCTTTATCTGAAGAAATTATGAATACTAGATTTGTGACTTTGGGCAAGTTATTTAATCCCTTTGTGTTCAACATCTTGAATTTTTTAAATGGGGATACTACATACTTTACTTCGTAAGATTCTAATGTAGACTAAACTACACCTAGCACATAGTAAGCGCACACAAATGCTAGTTATTTTATTTACTGTTGCATGTGGTCTTTTTTATTACCAAGGCTATGAAGACACACACACACACACACACGCACAAAGTATAATTCCAATTTTCTCTTAAACGATTAACAAAAACTGATAGTAAAATGGAAAAATTCTACAAAAAGCCCAAAATCAATGTGTACCTAGAATTCTACTCTATGGCTTTAGTTTCCCTTCATCTAGGTTGGCACTTTCTTTACACTGTAATGCTACTTTTCATATTCTAAATAGTAGGCTTCCCAAACTTACTTGTTTACAGAATCTCCCCACATAGTTCAATGGATTACCTAGTAGCATCCCAAAGAATCTGTTACACAGAATGCTCTATAACACTACACCAAATCAACTCTCTACATAGTCCTAGGACTTTGAGTTAATACCACCCTGTCTCTCATTAGAAATTATGGGATTAAAAAAAATTCACTGGATAGTATCATTTTATAACAAATATCATTTTAGACTATAAACATTCAGTAGAGGGTGACTAAGAATAGTATCTCTGTAAAACACTTTGATTTCAACAAACTCAAGCTTGAAAGTTAAAGCTTTCAATAAGAAGTCTGATCTAATCAAAAGTAAAGCTAATCTAATCAAAATTATAGAACATGAGCATTTTAAGGCAGGAAAACGAAATTAAAAAACACGAAGTCAAAGAACTAAAATTATTAATTCAATTCTGTACATGAGAGAAAACACCAATATTTAAGACTATGAAGATTAGACGTTCACCTGAGACCATCTACCTCTGCTCTCTCAGCAAATTTCCTGATAATTGATTTTGGTTGGCAAGTGCTTTGCCCACAACGCAGTCGGCATGAATTTGACTGAATAATAGAAAAAGTGTGTTGGCAGCATTCTTTCACAAACTACTCTGAGCAAAAACCACAGCTCAAAATTACTTTGATATCTTCTGGAAGACATCTCTCAACACGTTTTTCTTTCAGCCTTTTCAGAATAAGTTCAAGTGTTGCTTCCTTAGATGGTTTCCTCTCCCTCTGACTGACCCTGGACTCATCTTCATTTTCTTCATCTTCATGGTCTAGAGAAGAACCAAAGCTTTTTGGAAGAGTGTTACTACGTGGACGTGTCTGAGGTATAAATTCTCCATCAGAGCCTTTGTGTTTTGCATCTGCATTTCAGAACCAGGAGAATGGATCAATAATTATGAATTTAGCTAACGTGATTAAAAGAGTAAACAAGATTTATAGCACAAAACAATACAGTAAAAGCATATAGTCTTGGAAATTTCAAATTCATATGGCTTATTTGTATTTATACAGACAGCAAGGGAAGTAACAAGATTCTTTAAGTTCATGGGGAAAAACCTATCTGTTTATACCATTTTCCCACAAGCTTTAAAAGCCCTCAATACGATTAAACATTTTTTAGCCAATATACATAGAAAATCTACTATAAAGATGCTGTGTTAAGCACTGTAGATACCGAAATAAATGAAACAGTCATAATTACCTGCTTTCATAAAGAGTGCATTCAGGAAGAAAAAACAATAACCAAGTAATCAGATTAAAAACAAAATCATTTCAAAGAGCGGTAAATGCTATAAAGACGGTGTTATCTGTTTTGAAAGGGTGTGTTTTGTGGAAGAACAGCTACAATGGATGGGATTGAGAGAAAAGACTTCTCCTAGATGTTAGTATCCAAGTTGAATATAAAACAAGGAGTTTATTTATGCAGTATGATAGTTAGGTTTTGTGTCAATTTGACAGGGTCAGGACTCTTAGTGGCTTGACAGTTGAAGCCTAATAATAAGTGTGACCTAACACAATGTAATCAACTCCATAATGGAATCTGCTGTGAGCAGGCAAGTAGTTATAAGAGGACTGGGATAAAGCGTAACCCTTTACTCAGGTCACAGCCCTAAGACAATTAAAAGGTTTCCTCTGGTGTATGGCCTACTTCCTATACAAGTAGATACCCTGGAAAGCTTGTAGGAGAAAGATGAGACTTTCTGCTCCCATAAAGTTAGTGTTGGAAACTCTTGGGGACAGTTCTACCTAGGTCAACATGAGTCAGAATGGACTCGTGGCAGCGAGTTTGATTTGGTGGAAAGCGTGCTTGTTTTTTGCTGGGTCTTTATGCTTAATCTGGCTCATCAACCTCGGGTTCTTTGGACTTAACCAACTTCCTGCAACTGTCTGCCAATACCAGATTCATTCACCTCTCCCATCACAAACTGGTCAGTTGACCTTGGATCCATCAACCTCTGCAGCTTGTGATATTACTGCTGTTCCTGGGTTCATCAGCCCACAACCCATGGATTTGAAACTAAGATGGACTTGCCTGCTTCTACAACTATACAGGCCATTTTCTTGATATAAATTTCTGTGTGTGCATGTGGATATGTGTGTAAATTATTGGTTTTGCTTCTCTAGAGAAGACAGCCTAACACACCTATCATATTAGATTTTAGAAATGAACATTCTTACCCAGTTGAGTCAATAGTTTTATGTAAAAGCTCTAAGAACTGGCATGTTAAAGGAACAGAATGAAAGAGAAGAAACTGGTATGAATAATGTAAAGGACAAAAGTGTAAAAAGTTTCAAAGGTCACAATGTGGAGTTTAAATTATATCGTAAGT